ATTTTTTTTTTTGTCTGACGCTATCCTTAGCTAACTATAGATTTGCATTTTGTGGCTTTTTGGACAATAGAATAGGTTTGTGGTGTTGTACAGACTTATACCGTAGACTGATTGTTTCTACTCCAAGATTTTCGTTACGGATTCAAGAACTTGTGCAATAGTCTTTTGGGATATTGTGAACATTTATGCCCCGTTGGATGATTCTTTTAATGTTACCATATAACATTCCCTTTCTTTAAGTTAGCATTCATGTTACATTCCCTTTCTTTAAGTTAACATTCATGTTTATTCCTAGACATTTTGTTTGGTTGCTTTTTTCCATGCATTTATCCTTAGAAATTCCACTGTAGTAATATGTGACATAGAAGCAACTGGTGTGTTTTCTTTTAATTGTCCGCTTTCTTTTAATTGTCCGCTTTTCCGTATCTTGGGTTTCTTTTAATTGTCCGCTTTTGCTCCTTTCTCTCTCTCTCTCTCGTTTTTTTTTTTTTTCGATCTCTTCCTTTTGGTTAGAGTCTTTTTGTGTTTTTCTTGAGTTTCATCTCTAGCCTACTCCGACTTGCTTAGGACTAAAAGCTATGTTGTTGTTGTTGTTGTTGTTGTCCGCTTTTCCGTATCTCACTGTTCGCAAAATATTTTCACTACCCGCAAGTGTACGGTATAGCTATAGTGAGTGGCGAGCAAGGTCGTATTCCACAGAGATTGTTGTCAAAATTAACCAAGTATCAAAATGTAAACGATTAAATATTATTTAGTCTAATGCAAATTTAAATGGTGATTTTATTCTAAGCTAATGAATGATTGCAAAATAAATTCTAACACTATGAAGGCTTGTTCTAAGATAAATCAAGAATGAGAAAATAGATTCTAGGCTATGCTTTCCTCGGGATTATTCTAACAAAGATTATTTATTCATTCCAACCTTATTTAATTCTACCATCCGTAGGGATAATCACTAAAGTAATTTACACCTTTCTCTCGAACAAGTTAAATCGTAGATATTAATTGTTATATATTTCCTCTCGGTCTCAAGATGAACAATCAACTCCCATAAGCTCCTAAGATTCTAGTTCCCTCGCAAGATTCTATCAACCTCTCGGTCTGTTTAATCTCTTACGTTATGAATTTCCCAATTCTAGCAATCAACTATCTCCTCTCGGTCTCAAGTCAATCACAAACATGCATAAATACGGGCCCTTATATTCACACAATTAATAACAGCACGAGAAATTGATAAACGATTGATAAACCGGAATGAATAAACAAAATCACTTCATAAAATAATCCGAGTACTCGCAAATCCTAGAATCCCTAAAAGGTTTAGCTACTAAACATATTCTCAAAACTCAAAATAAATATATTCATGAGTTCAATGA